AAAAGATATGGTTAATGCCCATTTTCCCATTAAAGAATTCTTTCATCTTGCTTGTACTCTATGACTAAAGTGCACTGTAAGTGTCACCACTCATCAGTGAGGTTATAATTAACATCCCGCTGTATTTGCCTTCCTAATTACCTATTAGTAATTCATGTCTTAAGCTTCTGAGAGACCGCTTAGACAGGATTCAAATGAAAAATGAAAAATGAATGATAAGAAGATCCATGTTTAATTGCATGATGGTCAGAGCTTCTGCCTGATTCTTTCCTCCAACCTTCCAAGAAACATTCTGGCTAGGTTAATACATGTCTGTGCACGTGCCCTGTGATGTACTGGTGTCCAGCCCAAGGTAGGACAAGCTCCAGGTCACCACAGCTCTACAGAGGAGTGAGTGACCTGCTGAGAAGGAATAGATGGATGTATTGTTTCTGGTTGTTTAGCAACTAGAGCACTCGCTTTAATACTCTTTTAATAAAACAACAGCATTGTTCGGATTGCCGATTTGTACAGAACAGTAATTTAGACTTGATTCACCAACTTTCAGCAGCAAGACTTTCATACGTCTCCAGTGCGATTCATAGCTGTGGAATAAAGTCACAAGATGGAGCAGCCAAGATAAAAATGTACTATTCGTCAAAGCCGAACGCTACAGTGGAGATGCAGCTAAATGAAATGGTGATAAGATCATGTATACGTCAGTCATTCCATTGAAGCCTGTGATGCTCTGAAATAGAATGTTTTCTCTTTGGTACCTGAGATAGAGAGAGTGGCAGCCCGCATGTCACGAAGGGTCATTTGCTATCCTGAAAAATTATTTTAGCCTGAGCGAAGGAGCTTAACTCAGGAGTTAATGCCTGAGTTAATAGTGAGTATGTGTGGGAGAAACTGCATCTATGAAGCATGAATCACCCCGAGCAGATGAAAGCTCTGCTTTCGGAAACCTGCCTCCTGATGAGCAATCTCTCCGGCTGAAGTCAAAGGGGGCTGTTTGACTTTGCCTAAATTAACAGCGCTGACGCGGGGAGATCGGGGCGGTGGATTACAAATTATGGAGGAGCAGCTGCTTCAGCGTGACTACACAGGGACAACTCCATGCTGAGCTCAGAGCTTTTAATAAATAATAAGAACGCAAGGGTAACCCTAAAAGGAGAAGCAAATCTTCTCATTTCCTGCCCAATATGCTTCACATGCGGAAGAGACTTTTTATATTGTGGCATCAGCTCCGGGAGGAAAAGGATCCTCATGTCCCGTGACGGTGGGAAAGCTAAGGAGTTTGGTCACCCCCAGCTGCCCTGTAGGTTTCTGGATCTCCTGCCATGGTCTGGAGATCCAGCTGGATCGCCTACAGCTTTCCATTTCTCCGGCCTGACGAAGGATGCTTTTCAGCTTGGGCTGTCAGGTCCATGTTCGGGCATTCATGACTTGGGGTTCAGATTATTATAAGGGTACCCCCATGCCCCTGAGAGCAGATGGCAGAAATACGAGATATAAAAAGCTACCGCACATCAAATTATAGGTTGGAGACTGACCCTCTATTCCTAATGTCTTACTCACCCTGTGTTACCTGTCTGACACTTCGTGTTGGTCACTCTGTTCTGATCAGATCCCATATATGAATAACCTTCTAAAGAGAGTCATCGCCCCCCCTTCCACTTCCATTGTATGAGATGTAGGAGTTGGGGGTTAATAATAGACGCTGAAGGGTTTCCAAGAAGGTTAAGTGGCAATGCTAATGTAATTCTGCACCCTTTCTCCTTGGGCTCTGGGGTCTGAGTTTGACTTGGACAACAAATTGACCGATCCCAGTTTCGCCCTCTCTTCAAATCGATTCCACTAATAAACACCGAGCATCCCTTCCAGGACATGTGTCGATGTCAGATCCAGACTGAAACGGCTGGGCTGGAGGAGGGGAGTTTACCTGCATCTGCACTCTGGAGCGATCACATCCTGTTTTGTTTTTTTGACTGTTTCATACTTCAGTGAAACAAGCTGATCCCTTCGCCACCCGGTGCTGCCCGGTGACCCGGGAGGCTGGCTGACCGTGCTCTCTGGCCGAGCCGCAGTCTCGCCGCGACCAGCTGCGGAAATCTCCGTCCGCGACGGAGCTCTTCTAAAAATAGCCTCCCCTCCCTCCCGCGCTTCGCCTTTTCCAAATCTGCTGCATTATTGATTTTTATCAGGAGAGCTCACAGCAGGGGTGCTCTTTCCGAGCCATCCTTTGGGCTGATAGCCCTTCACAGCGAATGTCCCAACAAGTCCACTGCAGTGCAGTTTTTTCAGTCAAAGAGCCTTCTGTTTTTTTTTTTTTATTTCCGTGCATGCTGCCCAGGTCTTTAAATAAAGGTGTCTGTGGAGTGGGGGGCGGAGCAGTGTCATTGGGAGTGCTTAATAAGTGGAATAACCAGTAAATTAGCAGGGAGACTGCTGATCATACCAGCATGAATACTTTCCTAATCCCTTCAGAGGCTCTGATGGAAGATATTCCGAGTGGGAGGGTTTTCCGAACAGGGTTCTGATTATTTTTCCACCCGGAAGGGGGGGGGGGAGTTAAATATTGTTTCTGAAAGAAAAGGGGGAGAATGTATAATACATCACTTTATTTGAAGGACACTTAAATAAATGATACAAAATAAATGACATGTAATATCAGCTATGGCTGGAACGTTTCGACTCAGCTGTTGTGGTTTAATGGGGTATGTAGTTTACCATGGTGCCTTTTCTGATCCTGGTTCACCTAAGATGGAATGAGCACAGAGGAAACTAAAGTAAAAATGAAATGTCCGACGCGTGCACCGATTGCAAGCATGCTCGTTCCTGCAGCGGTTCGGACACAGCGTGCAGTGAGGAGGCCTGGGTACAGCCCGCCTGCGCTGTTGCTGGTTTGTTTGTGTTGTTGCTAAGCCAACTCCTCACTTGGGCTAGGCAGCCCCTCTCCGCTCGGCTGCCTTGGCACCGGCCCTGACTTGTGCGAGGCGGAGGCACTCGTTGACCTTCCACGCCTGACCGGGGGACGATCCTTCGCCGTGCGCCAGCAGCAGCTGTGTCTATTAATAACTCTCCGCCGCCTCTGATCCCCTCCATCTGCAGGGCTTTGCGCCTCCGGCTCGTGTTAGGAGCCCAGCACCTGCGCTTGCGGCCTGGCGGCATGTCAGGCGGCATTTTGAATTTCTTATTAAATGAAAAGAAATACCTGTTAGTGTAAGGGGGGGGGTGTCTGCGACCCCTGACCCCTGGCAGTGTGGAAACGTGCCAGATTAACAACAGGTGGTTCGGTTTAGAAGAGCTTTTTATTTCTTTTTGCATCCTCTGCCAGTTTGGTTACCCGCTCCAGGTCTCGAACCCGTGAAGCCCTCGCCCTCGGGGTTGTCGCTTTGTCCACAGGTGTTGCCCTTCAGCTCCCTGGGGCCGAGCATGTCTGGTCAACACGGATACGGACAGGCTGCCGCGGTGCGAGACAGGTACAGGGTTCCTGTACCCCGACAAGCCTGCTTGTCGGGGTACACGAACAGAGGGTGCCAGTGGGTTTTTACAGTAGTTAGGTTGGCACACCTTTGCCCAAACATCCTGCAAGGTGTGTTCAATCACCAGGTTCAACAATGACACTTTCACCCACACATGTCGCATGTTGATATCCTCTTAGCAATTTTTTGCTTTGCCTTGGAAAACAGGAAAAGAAGCTCCACTAAGTGTGTCTATCTTCCATGTGCATCAACGCAATGCCACTGGAGTGCTCCTCGCCTGCCTGAGTCCGGGATCCCTGTGGAAAGGGGTCGGCCGTCTCAGTACTGATCCCTCTCTTTGTTTTCTGGCCCGTTTGATGGCACTGGGATTTCATTCTCACGTTGGCACGGTTTGGTATTTGGTAAAAGAGTTACAGTCTCTGGTACAGACTCGAAAAAGTGCCGTCCGCTCCGCCCTGCACCCGGAGCAAATTTCAGATGAAGACGGCAGTTCTGCTCGGCAAGTCATGCCATGCTTGTTGAGTTGGGGTCTTTTTCTCCGAGAGGGAGAAGTGGGGGGGGTGAGGGGTCCCCCTGTAATTGTATCACGGGGATACCTCCTGCTAGGATGGCACGTGCAGTTGTCCCCGGCAGGCCATTCTGTGCCCACTGCCCGATGTGTCCGTGGCAGAGCTGAGTCCTTTCCACCCTGCTGCAGACACTCTTTCTCTGGGTCTGAGTGCCGATGGCTCTCCGTCAGTGTCTCGGACTGTCTGGGGTGAGCATTGGCTCAGTGACGTCGTGCTGCTCATTACTGCTCTGTGAATGTCAGTTTGTTGACCTGCAGTTTTTTTTAAAGAACATATGCAGGGTTCTAGAAGAGAGGAGGCCATTCGGGTCTGTAGATTGATCGCAGCTAATTGATCTGATGGTCTCATTCAGGCCTTCCTCATTGGCTTCAATGAAATGGTTCTGCCCAGAATCCCACAGTCCTTTGTGTAAAGGAATACTATTGCCAGTTTTAAATATACTTCCTTGGGTTTCACCGTTGATTCTGCGAAACTCCTCGAATTCATTGAAGTTTTTGGATACTTGATACTGTACTCGAGTCAGATCTACTTAAGTCGGGTCGCATTGTGTTTGGATATTAAAGGACACTGTTGGCATGTTTTTAGTAAACCTTAAAATGCAGAGAGACGTGGCTTCATCGCAGTGTGAGGTGACAGGTGTCGCATTCTGGCCGTCATGCCTGCCTCACAGTGCCACTGCTATCCCCTGTGATGTGGGAGCTCATTACTAAGAAACGGAGTTGCTCAGGTTTGCCCAGTTTAACAGCAGGCTGGTGCCCCAGTTCTGCACTACCTGCGTGGCAGAAATGGACAGCTGTCAGAGCCGTTCCCTGCATTCAGTATTTACTTGGCTCTTCAGCAGCAGAGGACATTTGGTGTCCGATAATACTGTATGTCCCCCAGGAATGACTCTAAACTAAAGCGTTAGATGTTATGTGCTTTCACTGAACTAATGTGTTTTTTTCTGTCTTTTTCTTCTTTCCTAAAGCGATTTTGAACCCCAAGAATCCAAAGGAATCCCCCAAATCCTTCAGCTTTGACTACTCCTACTGGTCGCATACCTCGGTAAGGCAGCTGGGTCATGTGAGGCTGTTCGGGTAGGGAGGTCAAGGGCTCCTCTGAATGTCCCGAATGCCAGCCCGGTTTCATGTGGCGGTGTCTTTGGTGTGCGTTCTTCACATGCTGCAGGGCGGACAGCACACCCCCGTACTGTTATTAGGGAAACATTTGCACTGCAGTGATATAAGAATGGACAGAAAGTGGGGGACCTCATTTTCAGTGCTAGATTTTTAGAAGAAAGTGGAAAGTAGCTAAGCCTTAAACCCTTGTACCTGTCCTTTTTCTCGTTGGTTCTATTCATTTGCTCTGCTTTAAACTTGAATGTATTAAATCTCATTAAGTATACAAAGCGTTTTTTAAAAAATATGGTTTCTCGTTATTTATCATCTTCATTTTAGAATGTTTCCCCTTTTACAAACAAACAGTGCTTAAAAGCAGCTAGTTATCAAGCCCATTGTTCTGCAACATCCTTGTTAATATCAAGCCTTTATTATGTCACCATTTAATTGCATAATTACAATCATTTATCAATGTGTCGAAACAACACTTAGTATTACTATCCAGAGGTAATTAAAATGCATAAAATGTGTGGGGCAATTAAAGGCAGTTTCTTTTCTACGCTTCAGAGTATGTTAACAATCCCACACAGAAGGGTTAGCATTAATTTATCGATTCGTAAAAAAAAGAAAATATTTAGTTTCAACCTTCTGACACTTTACAGAAGGACATTTACTGCAGGATTTTTCCACTTTTCCCAAAGAGTTTCCATGGCTTCCTATGGACTCGCTCTTTATTGCCTGCTACCCCAGCTGCAGCAAAGGCTGAGGATGCTTTCATTCAGCCTAGGCCTCGGAACAAGTCATGTCGCTGTAGTCTCTTTAGATTAGATAGATAATACTTTATTAATCCCGTAGGGAAATTGATGAGATTACCAGGTGACTGTAGTTTAGGATTCGGATTAGGATCCCCAATAAGGCTGAGTGTATAAGGAGTAATAGTGGACAGCGGAGAATACCGTAGTGTCCCAGACATTCCTCATTTTGTCATGGTGTTCCCACGGGAAGGCTTGAAGTTGAACTGTAAGCAAGAGCTCTCCGTTCACCTTCGGGGCTTCCCTGCTCCTCTCCTCCCTGGCAGATAGAAGACCCCTGCTTCGCCTCGCAGTGTCGGGTGTACAATGACATCGGGAAGGAGATGCTGCAGCACGCCTTCGAGGGCTACAATGTCTGCATCTTCGCCTACGGGCAGACCGGGGCCGGGAAGTCCTACACCATGATGGGGAAGCAGGAGGAAGGCCAGGAAGGGATCATCCCACAGGTACCATCGCATCCGGCTTTTACACAAGGAGCGTAAAGAAGCTTTCAGCCCCGAGGAGGGCTCTCCGTCCACCCCGGCGTGTGTGGGAGCTGCTGAGGCATTAATCCGGGGATCTCAACCAGCTGCTGTTTTTAAAGGAGCGCTAGGTATCGGCTTCAACAGCTTGCCTCAGTGGGTTGGCCCAGATGCCCTGTATTCTTCACGTAAAGAAGTGTCTCCTGTTTTAAATAATTAGTGTGCTCCTGTTGCGAGTTTGCTTGCATCCTGTAGCTTTATATTTGCCTTTGGGGAGTTTGAATACTCGAGTCCCCAAGACCAAAGACATTTGTTTCTTTTTTGAAATATCACGGTAACATATCGCTTTGAGCCTAAGGCTTGATCACCAGTTACTGTTCTTCGCTGGTGCACTGTACTGTATACCATGTGCAAGTGGAACCTGCCTGTGTGAAGTGTGTTTTGGGAGAAGGGCGCTGTATGAAATCAGAGCTGCCTCCTGTATGTACTGTACACTAGAAAGCAGGTTCTGTAGGTGTCTCGTCACAGAAATAGCTCAGGACAAGGACAAGAGTTTCCACTTCTAAGTATCCACGAGGCCAGCCTTTTTTTCATCCATGTTCCCCAGTGAACAAAGCTTCCGGCTTTGTAATGGCCGAATCCATCTAGCTAATTTTCAGGAGTGCTGGCTGTAGCTTCTTAAAAGCTTTTCCTGAAAGCTTTTCTGTGAGATGAGAAACCTCATCACTGGGACCTGACCTGCGGGAGCCCGGTGTTTTAGGGTGAGGGATTAGGCAGAGAAGTCGGTGACACTCAGCTCGCGCACACCTGGCTTGTTTTCAGCAGAAGCTCCAGCTGTCCAGGTCTGTTCCGCATCCCAGTCCCCCACTGTGAAATGACTCACTCCAGCCTATTCGCCTGTCAACACTCACAACAGATTTGTACAGAAGACCTTTAAATAACTTCCATTCTCATTGTCTATCTCTGTATTTTTGTGTTCTAGAAACAAAGCGCTGGAAAGAAAAGCTGTGGCTTTTTTGGCCTGCAATATTCAATAGAATAGAAGTCTATGTGGATGTTGAACAATATTGAACCTGTTTGTGCTGTAACAACCTCAGGCAGTTTAAAATGCCCCCATGAGCTTTGTAAATGCAGAAACTCTCATGATGTTAAGTGTTAGGTTGTGTTTCTCAGTTTTGTGCTGAGAAATGGCTTTGTAAATAGTGAAATGATGCCTGATTCCAGCCACCCCGAGTTCCTATTTAACTGTTGTTTGAGAAAGATCAGAAACCATGTTGGATGTGTTTAAAATGTTTCATGGAGAGAAACCAAACATAAAAAGCCCTTTTTTTGTGTTGCTTATTGATGTGAACCTGGCTCTGTAATGACCTGTGTTTTTTCTGTGCTGCCTTTGACTATAATGCACCATGCTTGTCTCTTCAGCTCTGCGAGGAGCTCTTTGAGAAAATCAATGACAACAACAACGAGGAGATATCCTATTCTGTAGAGGTGAGTGCCGGCGTTTTGAATCCTGACGAGCTCCTTGATTGGCTGCGGGGGGGGGGGGTGGCACCTGGGCTCCGCTTCTCAGCCCCTAGTGACATTTTCGTCACGAATGATCTGTTTCCCACTGGTACGCAGGTCTGCTGTCATTGGCTCCAAGAGTGTGTGAAGATTTTAATGGGCTGTAGGATTCGTGCTTCGTGAGGTTTTTTATCCACTGACGTTTCCCTAGCAACCTCGTATTAGCAAGATATGTCCTGAAATTGAGCGAAAGAAAATGCAATTAGGTGTTGAGTAAAACTGACATAAAATGCAAGTTTTTATGTCTGTATATACAGTACACTTTCATTGTGAGTATTGTGCCCTTTTTAAGTAAGCACTTAAGTATAGTTGTTAAAATCTAGGTGTTCACAAAGCAAGTTAGATTTATTTATCATTTCCTTTACAAAATAATGCCAGTTAATGAAAAGCCATTGTGCTACTGCATAGCACTTCTGTTATAGTATAAACCCTTAGCTTCCCTCTTGCTTCCTCGCCCTTACCTTCCAGACTGTGTACAGTAGGGGTAAATGCAGCCTTTTAAACACCTCCAAAAACACAAAGACCAAGGAGGTTGTTCTCAGCTCCCACGTTCACCACCCCCCTTACCTGCTCCGGGAGTGGAAAAGCCACGGCAAGAAACAGGCCCGGATCACCCATCGGTGACCTGAACGGGACCGGTACAGAGTTCTGCTTTCTCCCGCAGGTCAGCTACATGGAGATCTACTGTGAGAGGGTGCGGGATTTGCTCAACCCCAAGAACAAAGGCAACCTGCGGGTTCGGGAGCACCCCCTTCTCGGGCCCTACGTGGAAGACCTGTCCAAGCTGGCCGTCACCTCCTACACCGACATCGCCGATCTCATGGACGCCGGGAACAAAGCCAGGTGTGGTTCACGGGGGCCGGCCCTCCCTGTCCGGGCTTCCTTTTTTCTTTCTGCCTTTTTTTTTTGTTTTGTTGTCTCCTACGCCTTAGCAGTTTGCAATGGCCAAACGCGTACCGCCCCAGCTGCAGGCCTCAGCACGGGACGGCACGAGCACGCTTCCCACAGCGAGCTGCCCGAGCTCGTCCCCGCCGTCGCGGTCGGGCTCCGAGCCCTTTCAGCCTGCACGGCGATCGGTCGCTTGAGCGCCACCCCTTGGGAGGTCTAGTGCGCCACCAGACAGCCTGCGACCCATTTTTTTTTCAAGAAAACAGGTCCACGATTCAGAGTGATCAATCCGACACATAAAGAATTCAGGCAGGCTGCGTATTTTCACTCAGTATGTGCTGTTAACTGGCAGGTGCAACAGGTGCTTTGTAATGGTTCCTCAGTGACATTATGACCTGTTAGTGCAGTTATTTATCATCAGGAGATCCTAAGGTGTCCTGGGTCAAAATTCTTTTGACATGCATTACAACCCAAACTTATTGATACAGCGAATTTCAGTAAGAGCCTGTTAAATATCTGAAATATTATTCAACTATAAGTATCAGAACCTGGCCTTTTGAGAGTTTTTAGAGTAGCCAGATAGTTTTCCAGAAAGGAGAAGAGGTTTGGTATTGTTTGTGGGAGCTATAAACAGGAAAAAGCAGCTGTGATACAGACAGCTTTCAGATGATTATATAGCGATTTGTTCATTTGCTTTTAAGTGATTGGTTCTTGGCTTTAACTGAAAGCTGACCTTGTTCCCCCAGGCCTGGAGCTGAACAGTGCTAGTTGATGGTGATGATTCAGAATTGCTATTCCTGGAGGCTGTTGTGTAAGCTGTGTTCCAGCCTGGTACACACCCCCCTCCCCAAAGGCCCCCAGATCAATTAATGATCGGAACAGTGTCTGCGTAGTCACAGTGACGCTAGACATGCACTGCTTCAGCTGTACAAAATTTTCTTTTGGCGTAGGCTGTGATTTTCTAAAAGATGTTGTCTGTTAATATGGCTTTTTTCTAAAAAAAAAACGTGATTCTGAGATGGTACATCAAATGGCATGACTCACAGAGTGTCCGCTGTGCCTTTGCCATGCTGACCCTTCGGAATACTGATCAGCTCCCTCCGACAATGGCGTGGCATTTTCAGAATCATCTGCTTCCTTTTCAGTCACAAATTTGGGTGGCAGCCATTGGATTCATTTGTATTTTTATTGCAAATAATTTCAAGGCCCTTTCAGAGAAGTAGTAGGTAGGGTGTAATAAAGGAACGTTATCATTAAGGTGTTAAAAAACATGCTGAAAGCACACCATACATATTTATTATTTTGTCATTAAATGTAATTAAATTTCAGACATTGATGTCAAGCTCACAGATTTACAAGTAGTAAAAAAAACATATAAGCGATATTAAAATACACAAGAGAAGAAGCTAGACCCCCATTTCTCCAATGCCAGCACAGCTAATTTTTGTCGCCACAACAGTCTCAGCAGTGTGTGCTCAGGTAGCTCAGCCTTAAGAGATTTAACACAGGCATGTCAATCATGCAGCCCAGAGCCTGGGCCCCTGACTGTGTCAGTCTTGCAAACATGCAGTCCTTGTGGTTATCTAAGTCTATCCAATCACAGTGCTCCTCTTTGAGGATGTCACAGATATAAAAAGCACAACACTTGAGCGTCTATAGTTGGTCTCACTGGAACTGTACCTAACATTTTTCAGGATCTCAAAAGCAGATTTTGGAACATAGTAATCAGGACCTTTTCATTATGTTATTAATTAATGCACAAAAAATAAACAATCTTATGTTGTTAAAAAAAATTGGATACATTTATTTTTCTTCATAGAAGTGACTGGAAAGTTGACATGCTTGATTTGACGTGTGGTATGATTTTGACATTTGAATAGACATGACGCTTACTTTTCAGAGATCAATAGCAGTAGTAATAGAAGTGATTCTTAATGCTATTGGTTAATTTCTAGCAATTAGCTTTGTGAATGTCCAGTGTCTTTTGTGAGATGCAACATCATTTTATTCCTGCCTGATGCCGATTCCATTTCCCTGTTTCTCTGTTTTTTCAGTAAAAACACTAAAACTGTTTTAAATATGAAACAAGGCAGCCTGCTTCTGATTTAGCATTGCAGGCACTGTTAGTTTTACCATCTCCTCAAACAGAATGTGCATGTGACTCTGATCACTAATCCCAGAGCCCGTGTAACTTGCATTTCAGTCCTGCACTTCACCAGGCAGTTCACCAGTACTGTAGATATACATTTACAGCCATCACTCAGATTACAAAGGTAATTCATTGAAATTTAATAATATAATGATGTTTTTAATGCAACAACTGGCAAGTGTTGGTGGCATTGTGGCCAATAGGAAAAATGTGATGAGGACCATGGGCTTGCTGGTGAGCAGAAAATTCCACAGTACTAAAGAGGCTGCTATTTAGAGACCAAGCAAGCAGGATTTTAGAGAAAGTGTACAGTAGCTATTCCTTCCTTTATAGCAGCAGGAACCCTTGAAGCTTTGATATACATAAAAGCAACTGAAAAACAGAATAAAATATAAAAATGAACTAAATTGTCTGTCCATAGACCTCTTTTTTTGTGTTAGAAAAGGCACTACAAAGCTTATACCTTGTATTATTCCCAAATATAAAGTTGAAAATCCTTGATCTTCTCTATGGTGAGTGATATGGGATTTGTGTGGACTTATCCTGTATTGGTTAGGGATCATATTCATGGGTTATTTTTTTTCATTCCTGTTTTTTAACAAACCTGGGGGTCGTCTTCTCACCCCTGTCTGAATCTCGCAGGACTGTGGCTGCAACCAACATGAACGAGACGAGCAGCAGGTCTCACGCTGTCTTCACGATTGTCTTCACTCAGAGGAAGCTTGACAGCGAAACCAACCTCTCCACAGAAAAGGTGAGAAGGGGCACTTTCTTACACAAAGGCTGGTGGGAGTGTGGAACAAGCTGCCCAGCCATGTTGTTGAAGCTGATTCCCTGGCTCCCTTTACGTAATGGCAGGATGAGACCAATTTGCTATAAAAACCAAGAGGGCTAAATGGCCTCTTCTAATTTGTGAACTTTGTTCTTATATTAACTTTTTACAATGGCCTGTTCTTTTAGCTAATCAGGATATAACTTGAATAATGACCGAGGCATTTGAACTATGCAGTGCAGCAGTAAAATAAATCCCTGAGCAGAATTATATAGATGATGATTTAAATTAAAAACATAAAATGCATCACATTCTGTCAAAGGAGAAGCACTGAATTTCACCATCCTGTCAAGGTAATTTTCACTGACGAATTGCGCCACGCTCTCAGGGTGATGTGGCCACGCTTTCATTTAAAAATGGCCATTAATGAGTCATTGTTAATGCATTTCTGTAAAAAAGCTATAGCATTGAATTTCAATTTAAAGTGCAAAGGAAAGGTTAGTTATTGCAGAGGGGGCTGGTGCTCTGAGCTCTGTACAGTTCTTCATGTACGAATGTGTCCTGTTTAATCTGTCATTTGGTGCAGTTAACCAATGTAAAACAAACGACTTGACTTCGATCTGTTTTAATCCAGCATGTTTGTTTTCCAAACATACAGTAGCTTACAAAATGGTTACTTGTATGTTAAAAGAAAACTAAGTGTGGAACAGTTCTAAAAAACATTTATAGATTTTTATTCCTTTGGGTTAAGAGCCAATCTAGATGTACAGTACATGCACTGCTGTACTGTATGTACATCAGCTTCTATAGATTTTTCTTTTCTTCTTCCCTGTTTTATTTCCCTGATTGATTTTGTGTTGGACATGCTCTGGGTTCTCACTGTCCTCTTGTTGTAGGTCAGCAAAATCAGCCTGGTGGATCTGGCAGGCAGCGAAAGAGCTGACTCCACAGGGGCTAAAGGGACGAGGTTAAAGGTATGCCTAATTATACAGCACTATAGCGTTTCATTCCTGGAAGGGGCTGCAGTCTTCAGCATATGGGGCAGGGAGGGGGTCTAGCATCATGGACAGCCTGGGCTTCATTCACTTGACTGGTGGAAGGGCTCATGGGAAAGGGAGATTGTGATGTGAGGCTGGGTCTGTTCCTTGCCTTTCTCTGAAATGGGAATCAGAACAGAAAATAAAAAATGACTGCTGTATATAAAAATAAGGACTAATCTAAACCAAACTCTTAAGATCGGAGTCATGCCAGAAGTTCTGATACTGGAGAAAGTATTGTGTAGAAGCCTTTTCACTTGAATTTTAGATGCATCTGCTATATTGAAAGTTGTAGAAAATGACACTCCCCAGTTTGTTCTATATGCCCCAAGTTCCTTGCCATCAAAAACACGCCATGTGTAAATCTGAAGACGATTGTAATATTACCTACCCTCTTTAGGGTAGGTAATATTACAATTCTTATCTGTTCTTATCTATTGTAGCCCTTTGCTTTTTAACAACTGCCTTTTTATAACTGCATTTCAGGAGGGTGCAAATATCAACAAGTCTCTGACAACATTAGGAAAAGTCATCTCTGCCCTGGCTGAAGTTGTGAGTAACTTTTCATTTCATTTGAAGAATTCTAATTCCACATTTCTGGCCAGGACCATTGTAACATGTTGAACTGTTTTTTCTCTTTCCTGTCAATGCTATCATTTACAGGATAACTGTACCAGCAAGGTAAACCTTCTTGTCTACGTCAAATAACTAGAATCGATGGATCATTGAAAACCATGCCATTGCTAAGCATTTTTCTCATTCTTTCTTATGTTTAAGTTGAGGCTGTTAGTCCCATCTTTGCTTTCTAATTCATCTCTCCATTTTCAAATACTGGTCTCTTATATTATAGTTCTGTCAAACTGTCAGCTCTTGGTAAGTAACTGTTGTGTCAAAATTGTGGTGTTGTAATATTGTACATCATGATTTTCTTTCCAGAGCAAAAAGAAGAAGAAAACCGATTTCATACCCTACAGAGACTCTGTATTGACTTGGCTGCTCAGGGAGAATTTAGGTGAGTTAGAACACTTCTTATCAAAAAGAAAAAGGATAGTAAAACACTTTGCTTGGATAAATCAGGCTTAAATATTCAGCCACAATTAAAATTATGCTTCCAACGACTACTAAGAGACAATTGACATTTGAGGTGAGATAACAATTTGACTGTCAGGAGACATGATTATGGTTGCAGTACCCATGGTGTCACATCATAGTAATGTTTCCCAGCAGGTTTAGATGTTTGCTACAAAATATATATTCTAGTTACTGTATTTTCAGTTTGGCACAACACTTCTTGAATGACTTTGAACAATACTACTACATTGCATCCCACAATAGTACCTTGTAGGTTAAGATTGCTGCTAAATACTGGCCATAATAGAGTATTATAGGCCAATATCTCTACTGAATTACTACTGCAATACAATTCTGACCAACATCACCTTTGAGTGACAACTAAAACACAGTCATTTATAGACCATTATTACCACTGGATTCTTACTGTAGTACATTATAGACTGAGATACACAAGTGTATTCTTGGTTAGTCTAGTGTCACCACTGCATTGCAACTAATCACTGCATTATAGACAAAATTACAACTGCAAAGACATTGACTGTATTGCTGTTGTAGTGTAGTAATGTCTGATATTACTATTGAATTAGAACAACACAAATAGATTGACCAATATTCCAATTGAAAACAGTTTGTTATATAGTACACTATAGACCAAAGGTTGCCAAAGCGTTGTCCAAGGATTTTTTGAAAAACTAGAAAACATCTTGCCAAGATAAATCATCTTAAATTTGTGAAAGATGGTATAAGTACTTTCCCCATTTAGCCATTAATTGAAATACCTGTAGATTGGTTATCTACAGTACTTCAGTGCAGTATTGTTTGAGTTTTTTATGCGCGAGTCATCAAAATGTTTAGATTTGGATGTTTATGATGGATTTGGTTTGATGTATATGAAGGGTTGTGGCACAGTTAGGGGATTAGTATCATACTAGGTCTCCTAGACATAAAAGCCTGGGAAAACAGAACAGTGTCTGTGAAGTACTCAGTTCTAGAAGATTTTATTTTAGCTCATATTAAAAAATATATAGTTGTCATGATGTCTTTATCAATCAGCAGGGAGCCTTCTGTTATCTTTTTCTCATTAAAGTCTCACATCAGCTACAATATGATTTAAAGATACGTCAACCAGCTATTGACAGTGGTGAGAGGATATTGCAAATAAGATCTGGATTGCCCGAGGCAGCTGAGCAGGCAGTCTTATGAAAGTGTCTGAGGTGGACGTGGCTTCAGAGAACCAATAATCTTTGTAACCAGTGGTCTGATGTGTTAGAGTGGTATTCATTTGCTTCTTTGATAACGTTTGAGACATTTTAATACTTTTCAGTCTGTCACCAACCACTGGTCCGCTTCACAAACCCGGAAAAGGCAAAAAGTAATGCCTATTTTTTTCCGAGGTAGGAAAGGGCCTTTCTGTATGTTCTACGGCCTGACAGGAGGTTGATGTTACCCCTTGCAAAAACGTTTGCCTGATTGCTTAACATGTTCTGTTGCAGGTGGTAATTCCAGGACTGCTATGGTGGCTGCTCTCAGTCCAGCGGACATTAACTACGATGAGACACTCAGCACGCTTAGGCAAGGCTCTATGGAGAAATATATTATTAATATAAAAGATGCACCCTGCTGTTTATCTTTAACCTTGGACACTTAAAACTGCATTATAGGCTGGTACTGCCACTGCATTCTTAATTCAGTACATTGCAGACCAGGAAACGTCTTATAGTCTTGTGCCGCCACTGAATTGTAACTTCGGTTGCAACTGCAATATGGTGCATTATTGACTAATGTGACAATTTCAATTAAGGTACATGATTGACTGGTTTTATTCATGACTACATGAATACAATGACTAATATTTCTGTTGAATCAAATCTATATTGTAGTAGCTTATAAACCAATGGTGTATCACTTACATAAAAACTATAATATAGTTCTTTATAGACTATACTTTGCCAAAGTTTGTCCAGGACCTTTGAAGGGTTGTGCGATTTTCTCTTCCTAGATTCCTCAGGTTTATCATCTCTCAACTATGTTCCATATTTGTATTTCTGCAGTGTGCTGAATAGAGTCTGACGGGTCACAATATTATTTTTTACACACATATTAATTGGTTCCAATCACAGAAGGATAGGAATCACAGGGATCTTTTGATTGTTTATTGTAGGAAATATATCCTGTGCGGTTTTTAATTGTGCAATATAGCCTATTTCTGTGCAACTAAACGGCTCAGGACTTTGCTAGTTAACTGCTGCTCCCTGTTACTGATCCTTGCAGATATGCAGATCGGGCCAAACAGATCAAGTGCAACGCCGTCATCAACGAGGATCCCAACGCCAAGCTGGTGCGCGAGCTGAAGGATGAAGTCACTCGGCTGAAGGACCTCCTGCGCGCTCAGGGGCTGGGGGACATTCTGGACAGTAAGTCGGGGTGCACGCCACGGAGCGCGAGAACGTGCTCAGAACATAGTGTTTCCTCTTGGAGCAGGAGGGCCAGGCTGTCTGCAAGAGATCTAGGCCTCTTTATAGCAGGAGGGCACTGAGAGCTAGTTAAATTTGTCCAGTTTAGCCCACGATTCATTAAGGACGAAGTTGGAATGAACACCTGCAGACACACCAGCCCTCTGGGGCTAGGACCGAACAGTTCTGATTTGCAGCTTACATTTTATTATGCACGAGTTCCATTCAGGTGGTCCATTTACCTCTGCATCTTGCTTTTAAAGTTTCTATGCACTGCACTGTACAGTACTCCACAAGTCACTATCAGCTCTCAGAGGCTGGATATTGAATGTGTGCGCAATCTGGTATCATGATGAAAAGAAAAATAAATGTGTTTTGGCACAGGTGTTCCATTAAATCCAGGAAGCACCGTGGCATTTAAGCATTTTATAGCTCTCACGGAAGTCGTCTGTCCTTTTCAATATTGTATAATAAATATAGTAGATTGATGTTTTTAAAACCTTTTTGAAAAGTGGAAAAAATCATTCCGTTCACCAGGTGTGAAGTACAGTGTTAAATGCAGGATGAAATTAAGGACTATGATCTTGGTTTTGAGCAAGCACATGATATTATTTTCTTTGGACCTTAATACATTTCGTATAATAGCATGCTTTATTTTAATAGCATGCAATAATTAGTGACTGAAGTTCTTCACATTCAGTATTTTGCAATCAGGTCTTTTTTTGTAGGGGAAGAAACACTTCACTCCATCCATGTGTTCTCTTGGTCCATTCAGCCTTTTCTCTATGTAATCAATAACCTCCAACACCCTGTCAGTTTGTTGGCCTGACCTCTGACCTTTGACCCTTTTCGTGTTCTCCTGCTTCCCTTCAGTTGATCCGATGGGCGATGATTATCCAGGAAGTGGGAGCAAATGTGTGTATAAGTGTGGTGGTACTTCCTCTCTCTCTCTTTCCCACTGTTTCCCTCTCTCCTAGTGGCTCACTGAGCACTCTTGCCCCCTGCGAAAGCCCCTTGCTTGGCCCTGCATGTCTCAGGCGAATCTAAAAGCTTTCAAAGCCTTGGCAAGGAGTCCCAGACAAATGAAATATTATGAAGAAAAATGTTTCACATGTATATCGCATACATCAGAACATCTGTGCTGGTTAAAATATGATATAGAGCTTTTATTTGATAAATACTGTACCAAAGAAACAAATCCGTACAATGAGACAAAAAATGTATTCGGAAACCCCCTCCTTCCCCAAATATAAAATGTCCATGAAAAAATGTGGATCCATTATTAATGTATCGATAGCAATAGTAGACTACTCAGAATCACTGCAGGATCAAATTTGTGGTTTCTTCTCCCTCTCCAACAGCAGTTGTCAACAGCCTCCATGTTGCTTTCCTCGGTGCTGAGCTATTGAAGTGTTACATTAATATTGCAATTATTTGTGATGTTACAAACTTACATTCTCATATTGAAACAGCCAGCTGCAAGCTGAAAGATGCATTTCTTTGTAGCTCTTAAGAGAGTAAAGTGGTTTTAGCTGTGAATTTTAGTTGATTGCTTTACTGTGCCTGAATAGTGCTGTGTTCTAGTTTTCTTTTCTCCCATTCTAATTAGTGTGAGTTCTAAAAATATCAGTGGAGCCTCACAATTGTGTGTATATCTTGCTTTTCTCTCTCCCTTCTCCCATGTTCTATAATAATCCCTGTCTATTGCACTAAAGCTGCATAAAATCTAAACATAACAAACTAGATCTAACATGCCATTTAACATCTGTCTGGGAATTCTTGATATCCACTCATAAGCGCTAATTTCTGGAGTGCTTCAAAGTAAAAAAACAAACTAATTTTATATATTGTGTGGATCATTATTTTCAGTGCCTACAGCCTAACATTGCATAAATCGCTTGCATGAAAACAAAAGCAAAGCAGCTGTTTGCCAGAGCTCAGCCACAGCTGGACCCTTGCCCTTGCAGCAGATCCATGCTCTGAACATGGAAGGTCTATTCTGTAATGTGGGTCTGATTAGCTTGTGTTTGGCTGCGTGAAGGAGCCCCTCTAGACAGGCTTTCCTTGGTGCTTCACGATCCACTGAGTGGTTCCACAAGCATCCTCCAGAGCCACGTGGATTCGCCCCCGAGTACTGCTCATTTTCCTTGGCGTCCCAGTGACAAGGCCGTGCTTAAGGATCTAAATGAGGGAGATATTAGGATTCATGGTGACGTGTCATTTGAATAGACCTTGCTTAATCAGTAAAAGCAAAAAAAAAAAAATCTAACCTTGCAGCATGCTCAACCCTTCTCTGCCTGGCCCTCTGATCCCTGGACTGTTTGCCCCTCCTTTGTCCAGTTCAAGATTTTCTGTATAGTGTTGGCAGTTTTCAAGCCCTTTCCAGATATTCTAGTTGGTGTAGAAGTCCCAGTGCATCGTTTCTAAGAATCTGATTTGTGTTTAATGCGAAAGCTAACCATTCTAAATGCTAATGTACAGCATGTGCAAATACTGAGACTGCAGGAGATGTATATAGGCTTTATAAAGAATACAGTTATTTGTTTGTCAGGCTGCACAACCACGACATAGCTATAGGTATTGTGGATTGTGTTGTTAATTTAGTCAATGCTTTGCTGATTTTCATAGTAGCATAACAGCAGTCACATGGCCCTCCACTGTAGACTCTCAGCAGACTGATTACTTTGAGCTCCGGGCTGCAAGTCGCCTTTCAGAACCAAAACAGTGATTATGTGGGAGGGTTTATTTGTCTTACCAAGACAAAAGACAAAGTAGTGAGCGGAATTTCTTACTTGTATATATTTCTGCGGCTTGTTGATTTCTGTAGCCCGGGTGTTCAAACAGGGGGGCTCTGTCACCCCTCGACGGTGTCAGGGATCCCCCTAATAGTGGCCGCAGTTGGCCAAGTCACCCCAAGGATCGAGTCCGCCAGGGTAACCCCACCTGTGCCAGATCTACCCTGTGATTTAGCTGAGAAGCTGTGAGCTCCCAGTCTGCTCTAAGAGGTGCCAACCGTTCTGTATGGGCACTCTGACCCAGTGTCCCCGGTGAGCAAATGCCCAACTGCACTCCTCCCTCCACTGGCAATAAGACTGTCATGCTGAGGAGGAGTAGATTTACTGTTGAAAGGAGAAATATGGAGTGTACCTACTGTATATGCACATGTAGCGATTCATCACTAATACTCCCAGCTTAGTCTTTAGACATTTAACAAAGGTTGGCCACACATTGTCCTCATAGTATTGATTATTGAGGACATTTAATATCAGTGAAACATGTAAAAAAAGAACCAACAGAATATCAGATGCTGTAGTTTTTGCTGACGTTTTGGCCTGAAAACTGCCTCCTCTGTGACTAACTGTTTTTGCTGGTTTGTCTCTTGTATCCTTTAAATTCACGTCTTGTGTGTCTTATACCAGTCTTTCCTCCTTCTCTTTCTCTCCTTTCTCTCTGTCTCTGCCTTTTTTTTTCTTTTTTTTTTCCCCAACACCACTTCCTCTGTCGCTCAGACCTGAAAGATATACACAACAATAAGCATAGGTACTTACTAGCCTCTGAGAATCAACGACCTGGCCATTTCTCCACAGCGCCCATCGGTTCCCTGACAGCCTCCCCATCCTCCAGCTCTCTCAGCAGTCAGACAGGCCTGCAGTCTGTCTCCAGCATTCAGGAGCGCATCATGTCCACGCCAGGAGGAGAGGAGGCCATCGAGAGGCTCAAGGTAACGGACGTGGCAGCTGCTTTTAGTGTTGGTGTTTTTTTTTAATTCATAAAAGGTAACGGGGTGGCATGGTTATCATTGCTGCCTCGTGGCACTGGGGCCTTGGATTCAATTCCTGTCGTGCTTTCTATGTGGAGTTTGTTCGCCTGTGTTGGGATTTTTGTGTGCCCTGTGACGGACTGGCATCTCACCCAGGGTGTACCCTGCCTTGCTCCCGTTGCTTGCTGGGATAGGCCGCGACTCCCCCACAGCGCTATCTTGGATGCAGCAGCGAGTGGCTGGATGGATGAGAATTGGAGGCCAAAAAAGAGGTTTTAACAAAGTGTGCAACTGAAAATAGCTTGTGTTTGAAATTCTGCATGAAGTGAAGGCACTCTCCGTAGTACAGCGCAAGGGAAAGGCTGATCCGGTGATTATGCTTGGACACCGGTCAGCTTCTCTTTATTCCTACTGGCGAAGGTGATGGAGTGAAGCACAGAATCGCACTGAGATGCATTGCCTCCCTTCCAGCCAATAATTTTGTAGTTACACTGAATAGAGTGCTTTAGTCGGTAATTAAAACTACTCTAATTCTGTCATTAGAAATCATGTAATGAGGGGAAACTTTGGCCAGGAGCTTGTCTTGATTAATGGTCCTGGAAAATCGGCTTGTGAACAGACTATTGAAAGCACCCCTAATTGGTCTGTTTAATGTCTCAAGACCCCACAGTAGGGACCAAAATCAATCAAGACCCAGGTCCTGTATGCATGGTTTCTACGGGAAGAACTGATCCGTGTTTGTGCTTGGTGAAGTTCTGATTGAGCCCTGCGGAACAGAATCCGTTTACTCCGGTAACGCGCCGCGTGTCCTGTGGCGCCCGCAATCTAAGCACGATCTTGTTACTATGACAACCTCGACAGGAGTTTCAGTCACAGGTAAAGTGCTGTGAGTTTCACACGTATCAAACCGGAAAACAGCCATACTGCAATTAGGGGGCGCAGTGCAGTTGATCACCATGGTAACCTCCGGGAAGAGAAATGTGTGCCGTCTCTCCCTCAGTACGAGCTGATGTCGAGATAACCACCTTTTTTTTTTGTTAGCAATGCATTCATGTCGTATCTGTACTCATGCACTGCAAATGAAGTAAACTTGTTGGTACTGTGTATTCCGATGCGTTTCCTCTATAGCTTTGACAGCTGATGACTAGAGTGTGCCGTCATCATGGTGATCCAGTGCTCAGTGCAGGCTCACAGTGCCGAACTGAATTGGCTTTGTTTACTACAAGACAACTGATCATTTTGGCATGCATTTTTTTTTAACCACCCATCTTGACTGTTCAAAATCGTTCCTCATTTCAGCAGTCAGGAGGGTAAAAATGGGCCATAGAAACAAACTTCTTCTCAGCTCAAAAATGGGGAAAATCAAGTCACCCAATGATGCATGTTGCTCTTCGGTGCATGAAGCTGTTAGGAGTAAGAATTTCAGTTCTTTAGAAAACATTAAACTATTATAACACATATAAATATTGTTTTTTGACCATGTGGACACGTAAATGGTGCAGTGAGCAGTACATTAAAGGAATTTCATTATTCTTAATGTACCAAAGAAAAAATATATAAGAGGCATAGAGAGTAAGCTTTTTTTAATTTCCCATATGGAAATGTATTTCGGTATACATGATCAAACAGAGTGCACTTCATTAAAGACCAATTTTAAAAAGAACAAGGAGTAGTCGAATCTGTCCTGTCCGCCTGGGTTGTCACCTGGGTTATCAACGACCCCGGGTCAGGATGCACACAAAAGGGCAGTTATCCAGAACAAGCATGGCGACCCTTTCTGTCTGGGGAGTCGGCTGTAAAACGGACATGTGCTGTGAAAGCAGTCTGCCTATTGTGGAGGACTGCTGGGTGTTGGCTGGAAACAGAAGACTGTACCACTCTCTCCCCCTCTCTCTCTCTCTCTCGCCCTCTCGCTCACACTGTAGCTTGTTAGCAGCGAGAAACTGCTCAGTGCAGAGCACACGGCGTCTTCTGGCCATTAAGAGCCGCAGTTGCCATGGAGACGCTGGTGCCGTCTCTGCGATCGCCGACACACAATCTGTCATACAGTGACATCATTGCCCTACAAGACAACGCAAAAGCCGGTCTAAGGTAGAATTGAGACCAAAATAGAACAGGTCTTTGTGTCCATGATGCCAGAAAACGCAACGCGCATTGAATTTTTTATTTGGACTTCAGATTGTTTCTTATGCCGACAGAGCCTTGCCTTATGCATTCAGCTTTTTCAGACCCTTTCATGGTCTTGACCTAGAAGGTGCAAGAAGTGATTGAATACCTCTGTTCTTCTCTGCGCTTGCTGGATTACAGGGTGCCCTTGAATTTCAAATGCGGTTTCTAACAGACCATCAAAGGTTCAACAAATCCTTTGCGTTCATCAGAAGAAGAAAAAAACACTGCGTCATTTTCCCCTAGCATACAGTAATTGTCCTTAAAAAATGAACCCATCTGGGAAAAACTGCTGGGAAATTCTTTTCTCTTTTAAGTCTCTTAAACCTGAAAGCCGGAGCAGTGTTTTACGTCAGCAGCCTTATCAAGAAACATGCCAATTTTAGTTTAAAAAATATCAACCAACCATTTATCATTTCCTTTTATTTGCCAGGCAAAATATCAGGCACAACTGACCTCTGTGTAATGCAGCAGGAATATGCAAACGTTTCTCAGAATGCTCATGTAAGCGGGCACACATCCTTATTAATGCATCTTTTAAAGAGGTCTCATGGCCTAGATTGTGTTTTGAGATGTCACTTGCGTTTAAAAGAGACTACTGCCGCAAGCTACAGTATGTGGCATCTTTAATCAAATATGTATAGAAAAAAGAAAATGAAATAGAAACTTTAAGAGGAATAATGGCACTGGAACATGAGGAACATGGACGTGTTGCTTTTCTGATTGCTGCTCAGATCAGGGCTCTGAGTGAACAGTAGCGAGGCCACAGTGTCTCCTTCTACAACAGGATGGCTGGTGTTAGAGGGAATACTGCAGTCCCAATTTCTTAGGCTGGTTATTAAATCTCGGTAACAAATTCATTGACAACATAGAAGAATATGACAAATTGTGAATTAAGCACAAAATCGTGAACAGGTTGTTGCAAACCCCTGGTCTTGCCATAGGTGAGAGCAAGAGTTCTCACGACCTGTGACGTGATAAGGCCGCTCCTGCTCGCTAGTCCCTGCAGTGACTAATGTAAGTACAGGTTGTGCAGCAGACAGTTCACTGCAGAAGAACTTCCAACGTGATCTGCAAGCAGAGTTGAGAAGTCCCTTTTATCGTTAAAAACAGTCTGGAAATCGAGAGCAATGATTCTGCTGGATTCAAAGAGATGTATTCACAAGCCTGCTTGTTTGCAGTGTCATGTCGCGGGATGTTTTGTTGCCTCTGTCTTTTGATGGAAATGGGATGGAAACACAAGTTACTGTGGTGCATTTTACTTCCGCTGTGGTTTGAACTGCGCTCATCGGTGCTGATCCTTTCTAACCCCGAAATATGAAGATAGCGCTCCAGCCCCCCTTTAAGTCTTTGCTGATGAGCCGCCATGGCCTCTCTGCAGCCGGAGAGGTGCGACTGACACTTCAGAAATGACCACCTGGGAGGGCTGCGGTGTGGAGCTGCTCTACCCTGGACACAGGTGGTCTCATCTCTTGGCAACTCTCACAAGTCGGGGTGGGGTGGGGGGGATTAATCGGGAAGTCTCGAAGGAATTGCGTACCGATTTGGGATTCAGGAGACTGGAGCCTCGCTGGTGTTGGCCGTGGGCTGTAGCACAGAGGCGCTGGCAGACACTGAGACGGAGTAGAGCACACCTTCTTAGTAGATTAATTTTCTATGAATGTAGTGAGAGTTCCTTTTATCCTTTTTTTTTTTAAATTTAATATAGACATCAGTTTTGGGAGGCTCCGAGGTTGAAAGTGTTCCCCCGACAAAGCCGGCATGACAAATGTGTTCCATGCGCAACTGTGGCAGCTTTCAGGTTTCGGATTTAACCTTACGTCATCGATTATTTTCTGAACGATATTAATCATTTCAGCAGGGGCGGCTTTCCAGCGTGATCGGATTTAATAAGAGCTTTCAGCCAGTGTGATTTGTGCGGCGCAAACAAGCAGCTGGTTGTAACCAGCAGAGATTCTCCCCTCAGCAAAGAGCCAACAACCGCCTTTTGTTAGTGAAGACGCACTTTGGAGACCTAACCCCCTCGCGTTTTCCACAAATCTTCAAATTGCGCTGCACTACTTGTTTTTAACTACAGTTATGGTGACTCAATCCCTTAATTGCCCTGATTGCCTTTTTTCTTAGCACAAGGTTTATAGTGTCCTATTGGGCGATCTCTGAAGATATTTGCTCAAAACATACTTAAAAAAA